GAAAGGATTCAAAACTTTTGGTATAAGAGATTGACATGCGTTCATGAAAAAATGAGTCAACTCATCAACAATGCCTTCGATGATCCAATAAAAATGCCTGTTTTTCCCACTAATGGTATCACTTACTTGTTACCTAAGGACATATTGAGTACACAGGACCCGACAAAATATCGACCAATAACCCAGTCTGCCTACGCTATATAAAAATATAACATCGTGCTTAGCTAAGAAAATGTGTTGTCATTGCGAACAAGATAACATCATTGCCCGTCAGCAAAAATACTTCAGCAGAGAATCAAAAGGCTGTAAAGAACAGTTAATACCTTGACTGTATTAATAATAATTAATATTATATATTTATAATATTATTAATTGACTCAGATGTGTCTGGTCAAGCAGATGCGAACCATCGAAAAATATGTATAGATTACATTGATTATAAGAACCCGTTTGACTCGGTACCACACATCTGGCTATTGCAGGTCCTCAAAATATACAAAATTGAGACAAAAATCGTCAACTTTGTCTCATGTTATGTTAGCGTGGTGCACTGAAAATGAAGCATAACTCTGAACTCTCCAAAGGAAACTATTTAAACAGATGAAATTGCTATATTAGCGAGGTACATTCCAAGGTGACTCGCTGAGACCGCTATAGTTTGTCTTTGCAATGAACTCGTTATCCAATATCCTGAATTCTACTTGATACGGCTATGCCATCAAGAATGGGACACAAGAAACGTATCGATTAAACCATCTCTCGTATATAAATGACTTGAAGCAGTATGCTGCAACCAATATGCAACTAGAACACCTGCGAATTGTTGTAACGTTCTCAAGGGATATATGTACGGAATTTGGAATGGATAAATTTCGGAAAATCAAATTAGTGAGAGGTAAAGTTCAATATCATGGATTCCAGTTAGAAAATGGACAGCTTATAAGAACAATAAGACCTACGACTTAGGTATCAAACAAGCTATATATGTAGAACATGCAAAGTTAAAGATAAACTGTCAACAGATTTGGCAGGAAGAATCAGACAAGCTCTGAAGACAACTCAAGAGCAGGAATGTGGTCAAAGCAATTAACACATACGCTGTTCCTGTGCTCGAGTAGTCTTTTAGAGTTACAAAATTGAGTTCAATGGAAATCGAAGGCCTCGAAAGAAAACTGTGCACATTGATGACTAATGAACGCAAGCATCATCCAAAATCAGCAGTCGAAAGAATAACGCCACGACTTTTGGGTGGTTGAGGTGTTGTAGTCATAGGCAACCAACAGTCCCAACATATAAAATCCCTTCGAGAATACTTTCACAAGGAAGCAGAAACATCTGAACTACGTCGTGCCATCTGTTTAACAGATGGATCCACATCGCTGAAGGTAACTTATTAAGAATACACAGAAAATAATTATACAGAACAGCAAAACATGGGAACGTGGATGAGCAAGCCTCGTAAGGGAAAGAATCTGTACAAAATTAGTCAAGATCATTTCGACATGCAAGCGTCGAACTACTGACTAATGGTAGGTCGGATGTTCCCAGAGACAGAAGGCACTATGCTGGAAATACAAGATCAAGTCATACCCACCAGAAGTTATCTAAAAACTATAGTAAGAGATCCTGGGGCACAAGGTAACAAAATTATTTCGTTGGGACAACATTTCCTTAATATTTTGAAATTGCATAAAAATACATCGTAAATCGGAGAGGGTATTTAGGAAAAGAAAATAAACTTCGGTTTCTTAAACAAAATATGAAGAAATAATAACGCAAAAATAACCTTTTTGAGTGGCCTTTGAGTGTTACAAAAAAATTGGACTTGTGGCCCTTTGCGCAGGGGGGACCGTGGCAATTGCACCAGCTATATCTTACGCCATTGGTGGTAGGTGTCCATATACGAGTAGCAGACACCTCGAATATCATTGCAATAATCCTTCATTAAAGTAGTTAAATCCTGTACAGGACAGCAGACATCATGTCAGAACTGTGCGAAATCCGTGACCTGCTACTACACAAACAATATGTGACAATGACTACTCTGCTTGTATTCTCATAGATCGGTGTATCTTCCCAAGCTTTGGGTTTGTATAATAATGCAGCAGCTGAGGAGCTGCCATCGCAGAAACCAGTGGCACGCCTCCGCCCCCACACAGTGTTTCAAACTACTCTGGATGATCTTCACTCTCGATCAAAGGGGGTCTATATAATATTTCGTTAGGTTATATATAATAATGGATCACCTGAAATTAGGAACTTTATGTACACATTCGAAGTATTTGAATTTTTGATTCTCTAATAACGTTCATCATATCTTTGATATTGATGTCTATCACTTTCACTTTCACTTGCACTAATTGTGCACCAGAAACAGCAAATTTTTCACAGAAAAACTCTTATTGTTGGACTCTGGTAACGAGTAGATAAGTCATGTTCGTACATACGAAAGTAAAAGTCTTCCTCTAACACGTTGAGAAGTCAGAATCCATGTTTTGTCGGTCCTCGATTTGGAAAAATCGATTGACGGCAGAAGGCTTCACTGTCCGTCTGTGATCAATGGTAGCGCGTAAACGTTCAGATGTTTTCCTCCAAAATTTATATTCGCCGATTGAACGAACTCGAGACTTTGCATGTTTCATAGCAATGTTTTGATTTTTGAGGCTACTTTTTAAGAAGCCTCAATGTTTTCAATTTTTTTTCAAAAATTGCACCAAAGCTTCTGATTAAACTTTGTTGTCAGAGAGCGTAAACGCCTCTAAGAGAATGGTGCATGTCAAATTGTCGTTAAAATCGCTGATTTTTCGAAAATTGCAAAAGTTCAATTTTTTCGGCGTTTTTATACAATACAATTTTGAAGATGTTTTCCCTTAATGAAATATGTACTTTAAAGCTAGATTTTGAAATAAATTCATGTAAAATTTTTCGAAATTATGAGTTGTTTTCGGGTAGTTTTTCGTGAAATTTAGGCAATTTGAAAATTATTTTTTAACAATTTTCTTTTATAAAAAGTTCTCCAAATTGTTTTATATAAGTTTTATCCTCGTTGTCGCAAAGGATGGTAAAATATATGGTACGTGTATTATTTTCTGCGAACTTTGTATTTTTGAAACTTGCAAAACGTTATCATTTTAAAATTACAAGACACTTTTGCCAACCACGAAACCTGTTCTAAAAACTCAGCTCTTTAAAAAATGCGAGGTATGTTTTTTGGAAAAGCGCGTTTTTTCCACTTAATGTCTGGTTGAAATTAATGGAGATTATAAAAAGAACGTTTTCTCAAAAACCGCTTCAATTTTTTTCTTTAAATTTTTTTTCACAGATAAAATAAGAGACACATATAATTATGGTGGAGGTCTCATATTTGTGGATCTTTCCGAATTTTCTAAAATTGAATTTTGAAAATATGCTTGTGTTTTCAATATGAATAAGAGCACTTGTTTGGTGTAGTGGTTTGGTGTAGAACACGGTGAATTAACTCGGACGACCTGAGTTCGTGTCTCGGTCCGGGAAAGAAATTTGGTCTTTGAAAATACTAATTTGCTGCAAAATTAGAGATTTTACTATTTTGTTTACTAGCTCAAGCGTAATTCGCAAACATGAATCTTGAAGATTTTTGGAGGAACTATTTGCCTGGGTATCCAATCGTTGCTACGGAAGGTGTAAGTGTGTTAGTACAGTTTTCAAAAACATTTCTATGTGGATCTGGGTTTTCTATTCTTGCTTATATCAAATCAATGTATCGAACAAGACTGGACTTCGAAAGTAATTTATGAGGTGCATTATCACAATTAACATAACATATAGAAAAACCTGTAAAAACAAATTGTCCCCTTCTCATTGATGTTATATTACCAAAATAACTATTTAATAAAACTATATAAAGAACTTTTAAGTCTAATCATTTTAATATGAACGACAAATTTCCCTTTCGTCAATTCAGTTCTATGGAGAAGCGTATCCTCAAAGAAGTGTCCAAGGAAGGGAGAATGACATAAAAGATCGAGACCCGTTGCTTTAGTACAAAAATATCGCTTAAATGACATGAAATGCAATGTAATATGTTCATTTATAATTCATATCATTGTATTTTTAATACGTGTTGATTGTAATGTCTCGTCTTAGAGAGTATTGTGAAAGAAAGTATTGTAATCGTGCGCCGTTAGAGGAAGTTATGTACTCGTAAAATATGGCGTCGCCGATGCTGTAAACTGTTTTAAAAATTGTTTCATGTGTTGACAAATTCTTTCAAGCCCATCTTTGTTAAAATTTATTCTTTCAGTATCTGGCATTGGACTTACTAATGAATTGTAGTAGCTGATAATGTTATACTCCCGTTCAAAAGTTCCCAACACCCAATGGACTTGTGCATTTCCTTCATACGGGATATGAACTGGTCGTATTGCAATTTCAAAATTATAATAGCCATAACAAATACTTGCAGGTTTTGATGCTAATAGTTGAATTGTAGTACAGCTACATTTTCACGATTTTTTGCTAATATGCACAAAAATTCACATAGCACTTTTGTATTGGTACCATGCTAAATCTTTTACAACTAAATTTGATTCTTCCCCGGATTTGCTTAACACTTCCATATTTTTCTCGCCTCATTTTTGAAGATATTAAACAAATTTTAATATCTTCAAAAATTATACATATATTATTATTATTATTATTATTATTATTATTATTATTATTACTATTATTCTATTTACATACCATAACTTCTTCTGATAGTGTCGTCAAATTCTATGTTTTGTGGATCTTTGATACCGAAAAATCAATTGAGGGCAAAACGTACGTTTGTCCGTTGCTTATTGGGAATGCTGTAAGCATTTCGTCTAGAAATGGCAGTAGAGCTAACTATTTTACATTGGGCGGGCAGGTTTTTCGTGCTTCCGCTTTTATTCACTTAATGACGCCACTTAGGTTATCAAAGGTGTATTTTTCTTGTCTTACTTCTCAAACACTGTGAAAGTTAAAACTTTAATTGAATGGTTGAAAGTACATCAATAAATTGCTAGAAGTAGTATTACAATAGAAAATGTATATTTGAATTTTCTACATAACACTGTAGGCATCAATACAATTACATGATATTGTACAGAATATTACAATCAGGAATATTAAGAGCAATGTTTCGTATTCTTTTTTGTAAATTCAAAAATTTATTAAATTTGGCAATAAAAACTCAATTTTTTCTTAATTTTCCCAAATTACATATTTTGCCCACGTAAACACTAACTAGCTGAATTTTCACTGTTAATAATCTCGTTATGTAATTTCAAAGACCTTTAGTTTTTTTATGTATTGAATTCTCAGTCTTTTTCCTTTTTTATTGCGGTCTTTCTTTGACGTTAAGCAGAAGCACTTCACATATTAAACATTTAATATTTAATGATTCATACTCAATTTCGTTGTAGTCACAATAGATTATTTACAAAGTTCACTTAAAAAAAATTAAAATCTAATGCTGAATCCCCTGAAGTCTTGTCTGGCGAGAAATTCCCAATTGTGTAAGTCACAATGATCAACTTTTGAGCCTGGACTGCCGGTTTTTGATAGCCACTGGACCCTGAAAAACAAAGAATTAACAACAATTAATTATTATTTTTATGACGAATAGCACATTCTCAGTTATTATTGATTGCTCTCTTGCAATTTTGGCATTTCAAATGATCTACTCATGAGACTTAAACTGAATTTATGAAAAAAAATTAATAATATAATTAATTATATAAATCAATGATCAGTACTTGTTTATTTATTCCTTCGTGTATGTTTATCCATAAAAATAACGTAAATCTTTAATCGAAGATATCAACATAATTTAAACAAAAAAAGAAGTGAATACTGGATATGTTTAAATTTAAATAAGATTTTTCCTCACTATGTTAACTTTTTTTAATATCAAGGATTATACCATGAATTGTTAATTTTTGTAAAAATGTACAACCCAATGTATTAATCACACATGTTTAATTACTTGTTTACCATTCTCTGCAAAGCAGAGTGAATAAGGAGTCAGTGTAAATTAATATATATTAAGTGTTCAAATAAACAAAATCTGTGGCACACCCAGGAACGGGACTTTTGATGTAGTGAAACGCTGGATTAATGTTTTTTCATAAATATATTTTTATTATGCTGAATTTAAATTTTATATTTCTTGGTTTATAGATATTTACTACGAATTTTATTAGGATATTGGGGGTTGAATCCCCTTTAGACCCTCCCCCTCTTGAATGCGCCACTGCAAGAAACAAAATTTTAACCAAACCAAAGATTGAAAGCCAATAAACGTACAATATGTTTAAGAAATTGCATATATAGTTTATAGCAGTTACAGCAGCATAACTAATTTTTTACTGATTAATATTTACAACTAGTTAGTTAAAATGAATTACACTCAACAATACGGATTTGAACATCGATTCTCTCTGTGTGTGTCTGATTCTTTTTGCTCTAAAAAGAAGGTAATAATACGCACGTATAATTAATGTGAACATGCGTATCCGTCCGCATGCCCTCTTGCTTGCACACAGGCGCACACCCTCTCCCACACCCACACTCATATCCACACACACACACTCCCACAACCACACCCAATCCACTCCGTCCCAAGTCCACACACAAGTCCACTCCAACGCCCATTCCCACTTCCAACGCACTCCCGTATCCATAATCATTTCCACCCCGCGCCCACTGCTACGCGCATACCCAAGCACACACCCAACCCACTCCCAACTCACACCAACATCCACGCTCACATCCAATCCCCACCAACTCCCATACCAACTCCAACACCCAACTCTCACTGAAGCCCACGCTCATTCCCACACCTCACAATCGAATTAATTTAAAGGTGCGCGTTCTAGCAGGGGGAGCGCTGCGTGACTTTGTGTGACGGACTGTTACATTCAAAATAACCGTTAAACACTAGTCGCAAAAAATGGAAATTAAAAACTCAAAAAAGTGCTTTTCTAACACATAACAATATGTACATCATTGAGTTCGTCCTTTCACGCTCGTCAAGATAGACTGAAAAATATGTATAGTTCCGTTTGAAAAAAACAAATTACCTTAAATATCTCGTAAAATACAATTGTTAAAATAGAAATGAATACACATATCAATTAACTCTATTCCCTCATGGACTTGCGTGAAAACTGCATTGCAATAACTCCAACCTTTCAAAAGTTACAAGATGTACTAAACTTACGTGTTTCACCCTGTATATCCGAGAGGTTTACATCTGGCGATTGTCTCGGTTCCTCTTTTCCAGCTTTATCTGTCCACTACATCTTCCTTTGTCCAATTTCTTGTACATATATGTAAACAAGCTTTATACTCGTATGTTAACTTTAATGGTGTCAAAAAATAAATAAAATAATATTTTAGCTAATAAAATGTGACCAATGGTATCGATAGTTAAGCTGTGTTTCTAGATGACTGTAAAAAGCGGGACACATAATTCATTTCGAAACTTGTTTATGAACATTAGAGTGTGCAATAAAATTACAATGCTTCTGTTGTTAGTTAACAAAGCTTGCCAAGATCAAACATACTTTCAAATAACTTGTTTTAAATCAAAGTTACACAGTGGTATAGCGTGAACTTCTCAAAGCTGTAAGCAATTCCTTCACTAGCGAAAGTGGAAAATGCAAAAACAAAATAACCTGGGAACTCCGCACTTGACTTTGTGACAAAGCTTGGTCGTGAAAGTGGACGAGTAGAGACACAACGTTGTAGTCGTTCAGATTACTGTTTCAAGAAGGACGTCTGAGCTGCAACATTAAAGGGGGCGCATTAGGTAATAATGAGACATTTTGAGCATTGTCAGTTGGAGGAGAGGACGGAAGCAGCTATGCTTCATCTCCACCGCAACGACCATCTCCGCACGCGCATGTGCAACCGACACTTTGAGAAGGGGCTCACTCTTGTCTCTGGAGAAAGCGGCTTATCGCGTAGACTGCTGACGAAACGCTGGGGCAACATGTGCGGAAAGGCGATGGTGATGAGAAGAACGCCTCACTACTCCTAACGAGCGACTGGTGGTGATGGATGACTGGCCATAGGACCGTCCCATTGAAGTTCTGCATGGGAAGACCGACGCATGACCTGGCTGACCGTACGGCGACTAGTGCACTTGTGGTATTACATATTGCATTGCGTTGTCTCGGCTCAAAGTATCACGAATTCTCTTCTGGATGTAGGTCTTTGATCACGCGTTCATGTGGACAGATCACGTAATTTCTCTGAAGAGCACACCAACAGCAGTGTCACAAACATAATATTTGCTCTGTGATGATAAGGACTCTGTGACGAAAGTGTCTTGTGTCTGGGAATGAGTGACGAAAATATTTGTATTCGCTATTGATCCGGAGGGCGGGATCTGGTACTATGTTTACGTCTGAAACATACTGGATATATTCCAGGTATAATTTTATCGCGAACAATAGCCAACACGTCAAATGGGACTCTCATAGCAGCAACATTCGTATACTGCTGTTATATGGCTGCTCCTGCAGCTCTTCTTTCAGAACCACAATGACCATCTGCATGATAATGCCCGCCCCCACTCTGCATTGGCAACATTGAATGCTCGTCAATGTAGGGCTGTCCACGTTCTGACAGGAGGATGCAAGGAAGCTTCCTAAGTGTCTTTTCCCAATCTTGCATTATCTTGCTCATCATTTCATATCACTCCACTCTTTTTTTTCCTCTTTTCGTTTTTACTGTCCTTTGTCTGCTGAACGCCCACTTGAGCGTTTGACATGCATGGCGACCACTCTTAGAGGGAAGGGATGTCATTGCAGTTGAAAGGTCTGTTTATTTCCCATTTGGTTACTGGTGCAACAGCCCATCCATAGATACTAGAATTCCATTGTTACGCATTTAAGGAAATATTCACCGTTGCCAAGTACATTGATTTTGGCCTGGTCTCTTCCAAAGGAGCAGTCTGGAAGCAACTCACAAACGACCAATCAGTTCACACGGTCTTCGACGGAAGTCCAGACTGTATGGGGGATGTCATGCTGTATCCTGCTAGTGTATGGTGGGGAAGGAGCCATGCCACTACCCTGGCTCGCCCGCGATTGGACCCTTGGTCTCATGATTGGTGGGCTCAACTAGGATGAAATGAAATTTTCTCTATAAATTTGAAACGTTCCCTTCTGGCTTCTTTCTTAACGAAGGGGGTACTTTTGAAGGAATATAAAGCAATGTTGATGTTACAGTTTTTTGAAGACTAGAAAAAATCAATAAAACTCCATTTCTGACTTCTGCGTGTCTGAGCGCCGAGGCGAGACGTCCCACGAGGAAATAGTCTGCTCGTCTCCACTCTTTGCGTAAACTACAAGGGAAATCATGTGGTAAAATCTAACCAGAGTCCAGTCTTGAATAAGAAGAGGAATATTTAAAATATCACTGTGACAACAAATAATAATTTCCGGAAGCAAGAAAGAGTTACCAGGAATCGAAAATTGCATCCATTAGAAATAATACGGGAAAGCACCAACTGGGTATCCGGAAGTAGCAACTACTGATCCTTATGTTCTGAATCCATGCTCAATCTTTCAGTCAATCATGCCTCAACCTCCAGGTTTCCGTTTTTGGGAAATACTGGAGAACCTAAATGCTTGCCTTCCTACCTAAGCGAAACCCATGCATATCCCTGTTCCTCTCTAAAAACTCCTTTACTCCACTGCAGTTCAAAAAATATGCAACCACTTCAGATTCATTACTCCCCGCTCTGTGTACGTGAAACACAGCTGGGAACAAGGCAAGAAAGGGGTGGCAGGGCGGATTGGTGATACAATGGAACGGTGATATATATATATATATATATATATATATATATATATATGTGTGTGTGTGTGTGTGTGTGTGTGTGTATAGAAGTAGGACCAACCGTAAGGCTAGAGTATATCGAATTTCACATGGATCAAGGAAGTTGAAAACTAGTAGTGTACAACTGTATAAAAAATGCTCCAATCAGGGCGCTGTAACTCAAAATATTTATCTCTTTTCTTTCCGAGTTTTCTTACCGCTTCTCCGTACTGGCCAATCAAAATCTTTGACTCGTCTACCTTAGAAGGCGGTACACATCGATCGCTATGTCGATGTCCAACTGCATATGTATATAACATCTTTGATTTTAACATAGCTTTCAGTTACTGTCAATGTTTGGCGCATATTGGAACTCTATTGAACATCATTTCATCCCTGGAATGGTCCTATTAAATACCACTCGTGCTTTGGAAATTCTAAATCCTCGCTTCGCGAGTCAGGGAAATATCGACAATTTCCAATGCATTCCAGGTGTTACCGTAGGCAACGCCGGATACTTCAGGTAGTAAGAAATAAAACTTAATTTCATTACTCAATTTATTACCACAAGGTATAATTATATATACTTTATTATATTATTATTTTAATTATCCAAGATATTCTTTGGTCAATATAATAGAAGAACAATGAAAATAATTTGTTCTCGACCTCTATTCAATCGGGCCCTGGGAAAGTTGCTCCTTCTGCTCCATCTCTCTCTGGACGGCACTAGTTAAAGAACGTCTTCTATCTGGGTAAGCCTCAAAAAAATATTTCTGGCAAATGAAATATCAAAAATGCCAGTAATGTTATAATTTAAATAACATGCCGTTGTTTACATTCGAAGAAAATTATGAAATTAAACGAAAGTCCTGAATTGATCCTTTATTTACCATTCTTTATACTGAAGGGCGAGATAAATATTACTGGCATTAAAATAATTTGTATGCAAAAATTATTCGGAAAGTCATTGGAAAAGTGTCTGTAGTGGAAATGGCTACATACATTCTCAGCATTTGTTTAGTGTATCAGGGAAAATGGACGTAAAACCTGATCGAGACTGGAGTCATTAACACAGGCGCTGAAGTACAATACAAGTTTCAAGCAGATTTAGCCTTTTAGAATTATACAATCCAAATTGTTACTAATTCGTTAAAATCATTGTTAAAATCACTATTACTTTCTTTTTTGATGCTCAGTGTAGTATCTAATTGTATAGAACCGGTTATGCAGCAGAAAATATTTTACTTGGAACTTAAACTTGGGTATCAATTTTAATCGTTGAATGTCATCTGGTAATGTGTTGAAAAATAATGTACATGTATGTAAATGCATGTAAATCTTGTGTCGTTCTACAACTGGAACACTCAACGAAGTAATTATGGTCATTGGGTATGTATTCCCTGAAAATCTGTTCACACACTTCAGTAAGTAATTTTTGACAAAAAAACACTAATTCGTGAGTCAAGAGGCCTAGCTTAATAAAGATAAGCTTAGAAGAATCACGCGGAAGGGATTTGCTTATTATTGGTTCAATTTTTTGCTGCAATCTAAAAGTTTGGGTGCCATAGGATGGGTTTCCGCAGAATATTATACCATACCTCAGACGGGAATGAACACTCGTGAAATGTTCACAACGAACAGTAAGAAGGCAGACTGTATGTGAAAGACTTCTGAACGTAATTTTGTGTTTAACTCATTTAAATGGATGTTCCATTTAAGATTGACTAAATTAAGAGACCCAAACATTCTGTTACCGTAACATCATTCAATTGCACACACTTCCTTTTAAATAAATGTACAATTCGTTATTTGAAATGGAAAACTGTATTGAAACCGTTTCTCCTTCATTTACTATTAATTTGTTATTAGAAACAAATTTGAAACACCTGCTACTGTACTATTTACTGATTCTTAATTGCAAAACATATTCTTTATATATTGTAGGAAGATAATAGGACCTAAAATCTAAACCTCCGACACACCATGTCCAATTGGCAGAGAATCGGAAAGGTGTGTATATAATGTTCCGTATTTCTACTCTCTGAGATTGTTGTGTAAGATAACGATATAACTAATCTAGAGCATTTATGGATGAAGCGACATATTTAAGAAAAGAAAATAGATGGACTGATTTGACTGATTTGACTGATTCCCTAAAATTTGATTTTCTAAATCCATGTTGACAGTCTTAAAATGCGTGCACTTACTGAGAAAGATACTCATTCGTACGTAAAAAGAACCTCTAATATTTAAAGGAAACTGACAAAGGAGACCTTGAACGATAATTTTTAATAACATTTTTATTGCCTTTCTTGAAGAACGGATTAATCTTAGCTGTTTTGTAAATATATGAACGTGTTTCGATGCTTAAGAATACAGTCAGTATATATGTGAGTTAACGCTTGTGTAATGGCATGAGCCCAATACTAAGAAACAATTCTGAAATTCATCTAAATACCTGGAATATTCGTTTTTTAGTTAGGAGAGGAAGAAGTTACGAAGTAAAATGTATCACCGTATCGAACATTTTTGAGGAAACGTCGGTTGTTGAATTTTGTGGATTTAAATATTTTGTTACATCAACCGCAATTCTCGAAAAATATTGGTTGTAGAGACTGCCTACTGTTCCGGATTGTTTACTTCTCTATCATTATCTTTTAAAACAACATTATCTACAAGGTTTCTAGCTGATGGTATCGTCTTTTTTACTACATTTCACATTGCTTTTTGAGTTTATATTATCCTGATTTTGTTTCAACGAAATTAGCCCGCCTTTTGATATTTTCAACAACGATTTTTATTTATGGAAGCAGAGGTGGAAATCATGAAATACGCTATGATGCTTAGAAATGAAATATATAATTCGTTTGGTTTTAGTGATGTTTCAATTCCTTATGTTATCAAAGTTCTCATTTTTTGTGAAATATTTTCTTTTCTTTTTGCATAGGAAACAACGAATTAAAGTGAAATGAAAGCGTCGGAAAAAATAAATTTATTTATTATTTGTATCAACAGCATTGCAAGCATGATTTCTGGAGGAAGATTTGGATAGTTTTATTTTACTTTTAGTAAACACCTACTCTACGTGTACGTAAATTTTTTGTGTCAGTGTTCGCTTTTTTTGTAACAGGAGGAATTTGAGCGTCGTGGTTACTATATTCTGGTATGTCTTGAAGATAGAATGCATTGTGAGATGTGTAACGCAAAGACGGGAATCATTATTACATGAAAGTGAACCGTAGATATGAAGTAATAATGAATCCATTCAGGCATTCTCTCCAGCTCATGCGCTTTTGTTAGAAAATGTTTAAGATTGCCATTTTGTATTCCGTTATGGCATATCAATTTTGATGGAGCCTAGAATATTTCGTACAGTTTGCTAGTCGTGAATCTTTGTGGAGTCCTTTCTAGATTAAATGACAAAAAATTCTAACATTTCATGTCTGAACAATGTTTCAATAATTGCATGTTTACTCGGTAAACTACGCACACTTTGTTTATTTACTTCTTTGTATAAAACAGAATTATCTTTTATTTTCAATTTGACACGAAGAACAGGAACTATATTTAATTGTTTAGAGGCAAGGCAAGAGGTATTTTGATCGAGGAAACTCAATCGAGGTGATGGTCATTGGCCAACAAGTTGTTAACAATATGTTACAGATGAAATGCGGTAAAATTGTTGCTTTTAGTAGCGTAGAAACAAACATAATTTTGATTGATTTGAACAAATGATCCATTATAGAAAGCAATAAGAGCGAAATACATTCATACGCGTTCCTCAGAAAGGAAATAAAGGCGGTTGTCCATGTAGCAGATTTACGGTATGTGAAAGAACCCTCAGGCTAAAAGATGCCGCTCATCATAATTCTAATTCAACTAGTATTACCTACATTCACAACGACAATGTATCGTTTTTGCTCTTATCAGACGGTCGCTAGTACTGCGAAAGGAGCGTACAGAAATTCATTACTGAAATGGAGATCGTTAGATTATCAGCGGTAAATGGCATCAGCTGTAATACATCGGTGAATTGTAGTTAATCATTTTTATTTTCGTTTTCTCGGGTCAGTATAGCTCTGAAAATGTTTGCAACAGAAAAAATTTTACTTGGTTTTTAAAATATATTGTGCTCTATCGTATACTGCTAAAGTACTGTAATGATGTGTACAAGACCTGTGTTAACCTGTAAACGTGCGTTAACGCAAAAAAATTTTATACATTAAGTAAATAAGATTTTACAAATGTTGTGGCAGAAATATTAATTCTAGATATTCGTTCAAATAATTATGAAATTTAGTTTTGTGCAACATAAATAATGCGATTTGAATTATTATTCGTGCCAGAAATCGAACCCGAAACGTCTAGAAAGCGATAACAGTGGTTTACCAGCAACACATGTTGAAAGTGGGCTGAGCAGTCAAAATCGAATTTCCATCTTACACAATTCTTTTGAATTCCTCAAGAAAGGAAGAGGCTTTCCGTATCCATTGGTATGTATAGGATGTTAGTCGGGGGATCGAATGGACAAGAGCCAAATTAGAGACACGTAATTCTTACAGACAGAAACTTTTCCTCACAGTTAACAAGTTCACTAAGTCTTTGGCATTTCTTGATTCAAGATACAGTAAATACAAAAAATCATTACTAGTGGTCACCCAAACGAGTCTCAAAAGCAATATATTCCCTCGGCTATCGACAAATTTCGTCCTCTAGCCAACGTGATCGTCCTTCTTGCCCCTCTCGAAGTTGGCATCTTCAGCCTGGCGAAGCAGCGAAAGCGGACTATTGTTCCACGTAACTGCAGACTCGAGATCTTTCCGAGACGTTAAATTATCATCAGATGTCTACTTCTACTTCCAAGCCCTGTGTGAGCGTGAACTCACTAACCCGCGAGTCTGTGCCAAAGTAGATATCAAGTATTAGAATTTTATGAACTATAAGCGAGTCAAATTCGTTTCATTTTTACTTCGCAGTGTGTACTCAAGATCCTCTTGTGATGTAGAAACTCGATTGCTAGAATAGATCGACGCAATCGTGTTGGCGTCGCCATACACTCGTTACAGTTGTTGTTTGGCGCCTTGTGATGTTTTTATTTTTGGACACGAATTTCTTCAAGGTCTGGCCGTGAAGTCTCTGGGGTAGCAAGCTTGTTTACTGTCTCGTCGACGTAGTGGGTTTTTACGTCCTACATTCAGATCAATTGTGTATAATGAAAGATGCTTTGTATTGGTCACAGGCGAAAAAATTATGTATTCCCAAATTTTTAAGGGGAAGTAAATTATTACATTTAGTAAAGAGGCATTGTAAGGATGTTAGATCATTTGATTTACTTGTTACACATCGAGCGTTAAAAATTACTTACTGTAATTGTACGGGCGTATGGTTTAGTTGCTTGTCTTGTGCATACAAGTGATAAGACGGTCGAATGGTGTGTACATTGTTTTGTAGATCTTTTATACAAGAACAGTGCTACTTTAATTATACTGTCTTGTATACTTTCCAAATTGTTTCAGTGAAGATTCAGCGAAGACTTCCGGAAAATAATGGTATTCAGTAACATTCTTTACCTCTTCTCCGCACTGTTCTTCGAAATGTAAAATGACATGTGTTTTCTTGTCGATTTGTAAGAAATAAACGTGGATAATATGAGTGGGGCAAGACTTACATCTTATCCACTTGCCCTCGGTCGCCTTGCATTTTGCCCACAATCGTTCCGGTCTTGCTATTCTTCACCCAGCCACCGATGCCGAGCTGCTGGCACATGTCTCTGCAGTATTTGGTGAAGTACACTCCTGTATGGGCAGGAGCAAGAACATTACCGGC